CCATTCCTGGCCAACCCTTCACGACCTGCCTTCTTCCACATACGGTGCAGCAGGCCAAACAACTGCTGTATGTGACATGGAAGAGGGCCACTGCTTGTGCAATGCATGGGGCTTCGCTTTTGGTGAGTGCCCTGGGCACACCAAGCAGGAACTTGGACTCAGGGTCACTGCAGAGTGGACCAGAGCCTGGAGAGCCAAGTCCAGGGAATCCAGTGGATTCCCAACCCTGGATGGATTCCTCACATAGAAACAGAAACAGAGCGAGTCAGAAGGGGTCTCCCGGGCCATCTAGTCTGACCTCCGGCACCAGCTGGCTCCGCTCACGACATGCGCACCATGTGGACGTCCAGCCTATCCTTGAACACCCGCACCGATGGGGCCTCAATGACCTCTCGTGGAAGCCCATTCCACCCCCTCGGGGTCCTAACTGTCAGGAAGTGCTTCCTGCATCCAACTGGAACCTTGGCTCCCTGAGCTTTGCTCTGTTGGAGCGCGTCCTGCCTTCCTCTGCAGGGGAGAACAGATCTCTGCCCATCTCCATGTGACATCCCCTCACATACCTGTATGTCGCCAACATATCCCCTCTGAGTCTCCTCTTCTATCCCTGTCTGTATCACATTTGTCAGATCGTATGCTCATTAGATATATGATATAGATATATGTGGTCCTTAACAAGCGGCAAACCTAGGAAATTAGTATATTGCACTTGTTCCATTGCCCTTTGTCCAAACCATGTGTATTATTCCTTTGTGACTTGCAATTAGTGTAGAGTCTGCCACTTACTGTAGGGTTTGCCATTTCCAATTACTTGAGTGCTGCTGCTTTTGACTGAAGGCAAAAGTAGCTGGGACTAGAGGTGTCTCACTTCCCGCCACCCCTTTCTTTCTCTAATTCTCAACCTAATTTTTGCTATTTCTCCCCCATATCTTTCACTTCCTCTTTGATAAAAGTGGCCCAATGGGGCTGTAAAGCTTAGAAAACGTCTATTACCTAAGAAGTGGAAGTTACAGCAATCTCTGGCCTGCATTGTTCAAAGTTCTCTATATCCCCACAGTTTACCTGTTTGAAAAGTATGTAGGGAGTGGGAAAGGGGGTCATTTCTGTTTTTCTATGATTGGTGTCTTTCCATTCAGCAACCCAACCCTTCTATCGAGATCAGGGTAGGCAGTCTGGTGCCCTGCCCCCCATGTTTTGGACTACTACTCTCATTAGCTCCAGCCAGCATGGCCAGTAGTGAGGGGTTATGGGACTTGTAGTCCAACACACTTGGAAGGCATCAGGTTACCTACCCCTGGTCTAGTTAATATGATCATTGGTGGACTTGGGCTTTCACTAATATAAGCCTAATGGAATCCCTGATGCTCTCCTTGTGGCAGAATTAAAGCTAGTGCTGTTATCATTCCAGAAGGAAGAAGAGGCTAACGGGAATGCCATGATTTTGTATATCAACTCTAAGCAAAATAGGGTGAAAAACTCATGAATCATAACATTCTTCTGATCCAGGCAGCCAAATCCAAAACCCAGTTGCATTTTAACTTCATGGTACCCTTTTAAACCCCTGTTTTTTCTCTTCATTCTATTAACTGCATGGATCAGTATTAACTGCCCATCTGTTCATGGTATGAAAAAGAAATCAATTGGCACTGGACTGAAAAATAATAATCCTAAGATTTCATTCATGCTGTATACCTCATTAGCACATGACAACTCAGTACTTTACAAACTATTTACATAGAAACAAGAAAAGTAAAGACAAGTAAATGGGGTTTTAGGCCACGCTTCTGGTCACTGGGAGTTGAGTGGCAGTGTGGTCTGCAGCCACATTTTGCTGGCACACACCAGCTGAATAAATTCAAATGAATAACTCCCATCTCATACATGCAGTGATTAGGTTTAAAAATCATTCAAAGGTTATTCAGAATATGTGACTTTTTCATGTTGAACTGAAAGATGACTCAGACTTTCTGACGGAGGATAGAGTGTGCATACTTAGAATTTGCTTTTCCAAGTAATCTAAAGTGTCAGATGATTTAGTTATTGCTTTGACTAAACCCAAGCTACAAGTTTTTTTTATGGTCCTTTGCTAAACTTTCTGCCAGTTCCATTTAATGACTTTGTCATGGCATATTGTACCTTTTCCCCTGTGCATTGTCCAAGCTGTTGTTAACTGTTCATTTCTTAACAGACACATTCTGGCCCAGTTTGCATAGACACCATGGGTGAATTAGATGTGAACCAAACAAGGGAGAGTTTTGAGGGTTGTTGTCAAACCATCAGTATGGGTTCTAGGTTGCCTATCAATAACCTGAACGATCCACCCTTCTTGGTTCGCATAGAATGAATGAGAAGCTATGGCTTACCCCAGCCCATGCGGAATATTAAAAATGGTGGCTGCAAGAGGCCCTGCAGGGAAATTCATCTACTTTTTGTTATTTGCAGAGCAGGTCCCTACAGCTTGCTGTAAGATATGCAGTACAACGGTTCAGGTAATGATACAGTAATGGTACCACCCACATGGTGATTAAAACCTTCTCCCTGAAAGCTACTGAAGACAAGAGACTTTCTTTAGTAGGTTGCCCTCTTGTTTCTTTTAAGTTTATACGTACTTGTTGAGCCTTTGTTATAGGAACAAAGGAACAAGAACCTTTTTGGCCTTTCTGTCAATGTCACATTGTACTAAAATTTCATTGTGAATGTATATTCAGCATATGCACGACAACTGGGCCTTCCAAACACTTAAGACACAAATTACAGAGGAATCACAAACCATTGCTAGATTAAAAAATGGCTAAATTTTAAAAGGGCACAATGTCCCTTCTGCCGTCCTCGTAAACGCTCTGCCTAGTTCTTTTATGAATATCTTGACCGGTCAAACCTGATGCCCTCTGTAGTCAGTATAGGATTGGTGTCTAGTTGTGCCCACTGGTTAATTGATAGTACGAGATGAAGAAGTCCCAATGATCATTCTGTTGCCTGAATCACCTTTCCGTAACATGGCACCATCCAGATGTGTTGAACTGTCATTTCCATCTTCCTCGCTCAGCATACTCACTGGCTGGGGTTGGTGAGATGTGTGGTCAACCCATCTGGAGTATGCCAAGTTGAGTAAGCCTGGTCTGGTCGTCATCGTGCCGTGAAGTTATAATGAGAATTTTACTGCATATCAGGATGCAGGTGTTCTCTTATGGTTATTATAACTGTAACCCTAACTCATACACTGTGTTCATGCAATCAGGGAAGCCAAAAAAGCCACCCAACATGTGTCAGTAGCATAATTTCTCATTTCCACACCATACATGGGTTGCCATGTTTTATGAACTTGGTAAAGGTGAGCGGCAGGGGTGCTCTCCAGACCTGTGGGATGCAGGTGGTTTGGCAGCCCCTCCTGCCACCACCTCGCCAGGTTCAGAAGACATGGTGACCTGGGCATGGCATGGGGGATTCTGGGAAGGAAGTGGCACACAACCATCTTTCTGATGACCTACTGGTATAAAGCTGACACAGTCTTGCTGGTGAGACTGGTCTCTCGGCAGTCTGCTCCTTTGATCATCATTGAAAACAGAGCTGGAATTTATGCCTAACTTTCCTTGGGATGCTAGTTCAGGATGCACTGTAGGTTTGAGTCCTGGTATTTATGCTGTGCTTGTTCCATGGACAGTCACTCTCCATCTCTGGCTGTATAATTGCACACTTTTTTTTTGAAAGACAACCTCAGTAGACCTTGGAGGAGTGTAATATACTGGACAGCAAGCAATAACTACCTCCTATTTTTAGATCAGGTGCACCGCAAGTCCTGTGCAACCGGCTGAGGATGTCCAATCAGTGCTGCTTTCTACAGCAGGCCCTGGTGCCAGGTTGCCATCTACCATGTAGATAAATTGATCTCCCCTTGACTATGCAGTGCTATAAATCCTTGCTTGGTGATTATGCTTCCTTAGCAGCCTCATGCTTTCTATTAGTCAGCACAGGAACCTGGCTCAAGTTAACAGAAAACAGACAGACAATCTTATTCCTGCCCCCTTCCCTTTCTTTCTACCATATTTTGGAACATAAGACTATTTTTGTCAGTGTGCATAATAATAGCAAGTTGACAAAATTACCTTGGTTATTATCTGTAATAAGTCAGGTGTTCCAGAAAATGGGTGTGTTTAATTCTGTACGGCAGCCTATTTGAGTAATGCCAAATAGACACAATTCCATCCTTCCATTGGTTTCTGTAGGCTGAAGATGGGATCTCTGTGGAGCAATCACACAAGGTTTTGTGCCTTAAAAATGATCAAACTCATAGAAGGCAGATGAATCTGTTTTGATTAACTGTGACATGAAGCATCTCTGTGCAGAAGCAGCGCATATCCGATACTTGATTAATAGGTTAAAAACTACAACTTATTATCTGCATAGTTTACCTATGGGCATGCAAAAAGCATCTGGTTGGCCATGACTGACAACTGAATGCTTGCTTTTCCGGCTGCTTGGCGTGATCTTCTAATCTCACTGTTCCATGAATTCTCTTTCAGATGTACTAAAAACAGATTTCCAGATACATTACCAAGAACCAGCAGGGTCAGTGGCCCACAGGGGGTGTTGGGGCTTGCTATCCAGCACATCTGGAGAGCATAAGGTTGGGAGAGGTCTGTAAACAAAACAAGACTCACCTCATGTTATTGGCTCTTGCATGTTTAATTTTAAGAGGATGGTTGAAGTTTCCATGCAAGAATCAATTGACAGGGTTGTGTCTGGTTTAAACCAAGCATGCAGTGTAACTGGTTTCCAGTGAAGCAAGATAAGTTTTTGCATGTCAGTTCTTTGCAAAACAGAGCAAAGAGAGAGCAGGACCTGCACGCCCTGTACAGATGTAGGCATATTGATGGGCGAGGGATTACTTCCCCTAAGCAGTTAGCTAACTAGCTACATCATGTTTTCCAATCATTCAGGAGCTACTTTTGTGAGATTTCTAAATGACACTTTCACTGTGTATTTTTTCTTTCTTTCTCTCATAGCATCAAGCTTTTGGCCGTTCAGGAGTTGATTGACCGAGATGCACTCGAGAAGGTATATAAACCTGTTTGTTGAGCAATATAAACCTATTTAAGCACAAGCCTTCTGTCACCTGTAGGATTCTCTATTTACTGTGACCAATGCTGTATAAGAGTCTCCCCTGCTTTTTATTATATAAGAAGAAAGAAAAATTGGTTCCCACCTTGAAATGGCCCATCTTTCTGCATTTTTTCTTTTTAATTTTTTTGGCTGTATGGCAGCAGCGTGTAAAAACTGATACCTTTCTGCCAATTGTTGTGTTGACATTTTCAAGGCCACTCTTACTAGCCTCTGAATCCGGCTCCCCCAGGCTGGTTTGCTGCAGAGGTGTTGGATTACAGTCCCCATTATCCCCAGCTAACACACCCTGTCTGTGCTAGCTAGGCTGGTGTGAATTGTAGTCCAACAAATCTGGATGACAGGCTGGGAAAGGCTGTGCTTTGTTGTGTTCTTTGCATACTTCTGCCTTTTTAATAGGTCACAATTTAAGGAAAAAACCCCACGACTGGTTTCATGCCGCATGGGAAACCCCTTGAGAAACTGGGATAAATTTCAAAACAGCTTGCGTGTGATTGAGACAGTGTGCCTGCTTAAATGGGATTTCAGGGAGAGTAAACCGTCCCTCCAGGAATATGGCAACTCTTGTTCTCAGGCATGCCCTGAATTAGTCATTGAATCTCAATCACAACTGTTTTCTAAACTGCTGCTGTGCCCTTCAGATGGGGCAGTGCAAAAACTACTTTTTCTTAAAGCTCTCTGATTTGTGTGGGGGTTTTTTTGGGGGGGGGGGCATTGCATACATTCATAGAAGCAGGAAATGCAACATGTTGCAGTGTATATTCATGTCCAGGTAGAAGTTTCCAGCCATTCAGTCATTCCATTCCATTCCACCAGCACCAGCATCACTAGTTTCCTGTTTCTGTTTTCCAGCCAACATGCACAATTCCATGGCTACTAAATATTCTCAGTCCTCACTGGACTGTTCAGAGGGTGGGTTGGCCCCTTGTGTCTTTTTAAAGGTTTTTTTTTTTGTACAAATGCAAACCTGGGAGTTCCTCTAAGCTTACTCTTCCTGTTCCTTTGTGGCCTCGTTTTGGCTCCATTTCTATTGGCCCTCACTCCTGAGTTAACTTGGTAGGGAGCTTGTTGTGTATAAACAAACTGCTGTGCATGCATTTTACAGGACTTTGAAAAAGCTGCACTTTGTATCCTCCATGTTAGGGTTTTTTTTTTTTTTTTAGTTTTGCACCGTACAAAATAGCCATGGTAATGTGAAAACAAGTTTAAATTGTATTTATTTGTCTTTTCCTCGCTCCGGTATTACATCCTTCTCTTGGCATTGAGTTGGGCAGACTCTAGTGAATGTTTTCAGAGTGTAGCGTGTAAATGCATTTGCAGTAGCTTTTTTTCCCTGCCTCCCTTCAGCTGCAGTGTTTCATCACGATTAAACCCATTGTTATCTTTGTTAGTTCTAAATCACTTTCACAGCAAAGCAGACAGCTCAGCTTAAGCAGAAGGGGGAGTTATGCACCGCCCAAATGAAGCTCCTTGTTTCTCTTGGCCCGATTGCAGAGGCGGAAGCAGTTCTGCGAGGAAGCTTTTCAGTCATGTATCTTCCTGAAAACATGCCACGTTTTGGTTTATTTATGCATTTATTATATTTATATTCCACTTTTTCCAAAGAATCCAAGGTGGCTTACATAAGCCTCCTCCTCTCAATTTTATTCTCACAACAAACTTGTGAAGTAGGTTAGGCTGAGAGTCAGTGAAAGCCATCCAGTGGGTTTTATGGACAAGTGGGAACTAGAACCTAGTTCTCCAGAGTTCTAGTCCAACACTCTCGCATAAGCCTGGCATCTTCAAACACTTTATATAAAGAGAGTCAAGGGAGCTACACTAAACGAATTCTTGTTACAGATGTTTCTATGGGAAGGTAGGTTACAACCTGGGAACTTTAAAAGAAAGGCTTAGAAGCAGTCCTTCCTGGGGGTTTGGAGATTTTCAGTGCCCCATGCAATTCATAGAAACAAGGTATTGACCCTGGATCTCTCAGTGCCACAGCGCTCTGCACAGCTACCTTCCTTTTGCAGTGTAGTTTTCTGTACTCCATAAAGCTAACCTGGGGATTTTACGATGTTAATTGCACTTCTGGCTGTACCTTTTACAATTTACATTGGATAACCTTTAGACAGAAGAAATGTGAGTTTGGGCTTTCTCAGTTGCTGCAGGGCTGGAATAAGAGCTGGTGTAGAAAAGAGGTTACAAATGTGATGTGAGAAGGAACCCATTCGAGGCTTGCCTTACTGAACATACTCAAGAGGGTGACTTTTTGCAAGCCTCAGCTTTCCATCTGCAGTACTAGGATACCAATAACACTGGTCTACCTCACAAGGCTGTTGCACAGGTGTGCATCAAATTCAGAATTTTGCTTGGCACCCAAATTTAGCAGATCAGAATTTGGGAGCTGAATTTTTCTCTGACCATTCTGAATCTTGATTTCAAAATGCAAAGCTACATGCTTGCCATTGGTGATCATTGGAGAATGACAAGTAACTGTAACTGGGTTTGTCATTGGACGGGATTGGATGAAATTCAAGGGTAGCCCCCTTTGACGGGGTGATCCCAGCCATATTTCAGATGAATAGGTACAGGGTTGGTGTTGTGCCACACACTTTTTATATTCTGTTTTTGTATTTTAGGGCAAGCTGCCAGTAACATTTTTATTCTTGGCAGAATTGGATGAAAATTGTGGGCTTAGTTGTACCTTGTGAGAAAATCAGGGCTGCCAAGTTTCAGATTCATAGATTCACAGGATGTTGTGCAACAGCAACCTTTACAATTTGTCCATTTCCAAAAAACGGATACTTTTATTGCTGTGCATTCACTGTGAGAAACTGTTAGCAAATTGGCATACATCATAGATGCTAGATAAGAAACCTGCAAAATGTTTGAAAGAGTGGTGCAGCATTTTTTCTAGAAGGGGAGTCTTCAATTTTTTTTCATTGCTGTTTTCGAGACCTGGTGTTTTGTTGTTTGCTTTAGCTACCTTCCTTTACAATGCAGTTTTGCTTATTTTTTACTGTCCTCTGTAGGTAAGTGGCCTACCCCAGCTTTAGCATAGCTGACTGCGGGGTGCTGGAAGTTCCAGCCCAATTTAACTGAGGGGCACCAGGATGAGAAAGTCTGACATATACCCTAGAGCTGTCCTTAGGCAGGAAGCCTGCAGTATTTCAGAAGGGCAATGCCCCATTTCAGGGGATGAGACAGACATATTCAACCTCAGGCCTGGGGCCAAACATGGCCCTCCCGAAGTTCCAGTCTGGCTCTCCAGTCTCCATTGGCCAGTTTTGTAGATTGCTGGCTATTTATTTGCTTATTCTCCCCACCCCCATTCTGAATAGTTTAAATGCTTCTTATAATGCTTAGATACTGCTACTAAGAAATTTAAATAAAGAATTTTGTGTGTATTTGTATAGAAAAAAAGTCCTGCAGCTCCCTGTGTTGATAGGGAATTCTGGCAGTTGTAGGACTTATTTCCTTGTCTAAATATTTATTTATTATTTATTTAGAGAACTAGGCACAAGATTATGCTGAAAGGGTACTATCTCTAATGGCAAGGAGCAGCTGGAAATGGTTTTTAGTCCAGGCTCACTGGCTGAGAGGGTGAGGACTTAGCAGACCATAGGTTTTGACATGAGTTGAGAAAAGGCTTGCTTTAACACATGTCTGCAAGTGCATAAAGAAGTCCTCTTCCCACATTTCCAAAAAAAAGGTGTTCAGGGCACAATCCTGTACAGGTTCAGACAGAAAAAGGACAAAGAAAAAACCTCTCGGCATGCCCCAGCATTGGGAACTCTAGGCTTTTTCTGTCTAAACATGTATAGGATTGTGCCTTTAGCATCCTCTAAAACTGGGTGGGCAGAAGGTAGGTCTCCAAATTTTTTGACTTCAGCATCTAGAAGCCTCTGCTAGCAAGCATGGCCAGTGGTCAGGAATGCTGGAGGATGATAGTCTAAACCTCTGGAAACCTAATTTACGTAGTTCACCACTTCTCTAAAATGGATGAGAGGCACCCTGTTCTCTGAATACTGGATTAGGGGACAGAGGTGCATTTGTCAGCAAAGCTAAAATGGTGAGTCAGGAAGTAATTTAGCCCTAATTTAACTTGGACAAGACAATGTCCCACCCCCCTTTTGCCTTATGAAGATAACACTGACCTAATTTACAAGGTTTTTGTAGCCTACAATGTTGGAGAAATATATGTGAAGTTCTTCATAAAGTGCTGTATGAATTCAGTGACATTTTAATATTCAGTGAATAAAAGCAGTTAAACTAAATACGGCAAAGTGTTAGCGAATAAGAATAATAGTGATAATGCTAACAACAGTGGAGGGGTGGGCAGGCTCAAATGAAGTAGGCACCATCTAGTGGTCAAGAACTCTTTCCAGAATGTATCTGAGGAACAATTTTTATCTTACGTACACACGTTAGTGGAGGTTGCCACTGAATCTGTTTTTCTCAAGGTGTTTTTCTCTGCTCAGATTCACAAGATGCATGAAAAAAACAGTTTTAGCTAACAAGTATAAATCATTTGACCTAGATGTTTCTATAGACTTTTTGAATTTAAAAAATCCATTGATTTTTAGCAGCAAGAACTCCAGACTTTTGTCACGGTATGAATTCAGTATTTCTTGACAAACTTCTCAAATATTCCTGAGTATATAAAAAGTTAAGTGTTTAACTTAACCACTTTATTTTGGAGAGTCAGGGTGTTGATTTTAGGCCTTTCCAATTTAACTGATGTGAGACTTAAGGTAGGACTTAATCCTATTAATACTTTCTCTTGAAACTTCAGTAGTCCCAGCAGGTCTCCAAGCAAGCACACATGCAAGGAACATAAGGGAGCAAATTTTTCTATCCCCCTTAACACCAGCATTTATTTGAATGACTTCTACAGTGCCCTCTAATATAGATTCCACACAGAGGATCAAACAACCTGGGGTGAGCTGTCATAACCCTCTAGAGGTTTACTCAGAGATCACTTCCAATGTATTCCATGGGGCTCACTCACAGGTGGCTTAATGGGGCTGCTTGTGACCTCCTCCAGAGTGGTGAAGTCACACATTTGGAGAGCCGTGCAGTGCAATAGTTACTTCTATATACCTATTCCCCCACTTTCACCTTACTGGAAAGAGGTGCCTCATGCTGAAGCTTGTCTATGTATATTTCACTGTTCCTGTCCAGAGATCAACCCACATTTTGAAGCACTGAACTCCTAACTTTTTCTTTAGCATGTAACTGACTGCAGGACCATTCCTCTTGTTTATATTTGAGAAAACCGGAGGAGGAGGAGTGTTCTTCCATTGGAGTTGAATACCAAAAAGAATCAGGTAAATTTGGTGAGGCCAAACTTCCCCATCCTCACCCTGTGCATTCCAGAGGCACTGGACTACAGTTCCCATAATTCTAAGCCAGCATGGGAATGATCAGAGCTGTAGTCCAAAACATCTGGAAGGCCCAGGTTTTGTCAACCTATTCACAAGTCAGATGGTATTCCTTTTCTTTCTTCATCTTTTTCTCAATCATGAAATAAATGAATAAAGCTTCAAAGTTTGCAGCACCGCAGATGCTCCCATCACAATCAGTCTTGCCTAATTCACTTAGCTTGCTTTTTTCATCTAGCTAAGATTAATTGTTA